CTGCAGCAGGACCCCACACATGTCCTGCTGAGCCACCACGAACACCCCAAAGTCGCTGGTAACAAGAACAAGTCACCAAAAACCCAAATCCAGCCTTGTTGCAGTGAGAGCTCTTCTAAACTTGCCCAAGGTGCCCATACCTTGCTCTAAGCCTGCCCGCCTGGTAAAGCACAGCTTCTGACCTCAACTCAGTGCTCCACCAGCTACTTTGCTATTACCTCTGTCAAAGCAAACTCTTCCAGCCCTCAGTCCAGGGAAGCTCTGGTAAAGATCATCCCCGGCATTTCCATGGCATTGGGGAGCTCTCGTCTCCGGCAGTCCCGTGGGACAGGCAGACTGAAATAGCAGCCAAAAAATCTGCCTACGTGAGAGCTGCTCGAGCGCTGCTGAGAAGTGAGACATTCTGCAGGGAGGTGAGGAGAAAGGCTCCAGACAGCCTCTTTCAGCCGCAGCCCCACCTCCTGCGCCGCAGACTACACAACTATGGCTCCTGGATGCTCTCAATGGGGAGGGGGCTCACTTCTGGCCAGCCAGGAGCAGACAGGAAGGCACTATGTTGCCGAAGGGCTACAGGGCAAATGCAGGCTGATGTCTGCACACTGTCCCACTGCGGTGCTGGCAGTGAGGACGTGACAGCCTCCAGGCACGCCACCCTCAGTCCCTGTGTGCTCTGCGCGAGGAAGGGGCTCCCCTCTCCCCATATTACCTGCCAGGCGGCCCAGGCCTCCGTTTCCCAGCCCAGCATAAGGCACTATGTTGCCGAAGGGCTACAGGGCAAATGCAGGCTGATGTCTGCACACTGTCCCACTGCGGTGCTGGCAGTGAGGACGTGACAGCCTCCAGGCACGCCACCCTCAGTCCCTGTGTGCTCTGCGCGAGGAAGGGGCTCCCCTCTCCCCATATTACCTGCCAGGCGGCCCAGGCCTCCGTTTCCCAGCCCAGCATCTTCTTCGATTTCTTCCAGCTCCTCCAAGTCCAAATGGAAAGAGTCACAACAGAACATGTCAGCACCCGAAGCCCACACCCTGGGGCTGCTCTCTGAGGAGGGCAAACACAGATCCCAAAACAACCCACACCACAGGAAATTAAACCTGCGAGGGTTGCTACATGCCCCCACTCTCCCTTCCCCACAAAGTATCTCATCAGCCTCAGGTCCTTGGGCAGCCCAACTAATGGGAAAACAATTTAGCCCACCATCAAACATTGCCTTCCCATGGACTAGGTTTCCTTAGAGACCTCAAACAAAACACTCGTGTCCTGGCAGCCCCTCACGCCAAGAGGCCCTTCTACTGAACTCGCTGCTGGAGACAGGATGGCTCTCCCTTCCCCACAAAGTATCTCATCAGCCTCAGGTCCTTGGGCAGCCCAACTAATGGGAAAACAATTTAGCCCACCATCAAACATTGCCTTCCCATGGACTAGGTTTCCTTAGAGACCTCAAACAAAACACTCGTGTCCTGGCAGCCCCTCACGCCAAGAGGCCCTTCTACTGAACTCGCTGCTGGAGACAGGATGGCG